CTCTACTAGGCATGCTTGTAATTTGTGATACCCTTAGAACCTAGTGCTCTGATACCAACATGTAACGACCGAAAATCCCACCAAAGATTGTGATAGTGCCTAACCTGCTCGCTAGGTAAGCCAACACAATAATAGTCATAATTCTAAAATAAATTAACCAAATTTTAACAAAAATACTCAATATGATAAGAAACAGAATAATTTCAAATCTAATAATCATAGATAAATTATCCAAGGCTGGGTCTAAACATGACCACAACTGCCAGTATCGCCCAAAACCCGGATGTCACAATCATCACAAGCATCTAACAAGAGTATGTAAAATCATTAGAATACCCTATCTGTCTGGAGGGAATAGATAGACGTAAAAGAGAAATGGGGAGGAGGACTCCATGTGCTGCGAATTGATCAAGTAGAGCAGCTCACCATGTACACAAGTCCTCCTACTGAATCGGATGAATGCCACTCACACCAGCCTCAGAACCTGCACAAAATGTGCATAAGTGTAGTATGTGTATAAATCACGGTACCCAGTATGTATCAAGTCTAACCTCGAAGAAGTAGTGGCGAGGAGTCGACAACGATATTCACTAATAGTCAAACAATCAGATAAGAGAATAATTCAACATCAAACTAGGCATGATATCATAACACGTGTAAAAGCTCAAAATACAGTTCATATGGAATTTAGGCATGATTTACAAAAAACATAAATCAAATAAGATATCAGTATCCCAATTATTGAATAACACATGATACCCGTCGATAATACTTACATTAGTTCATAGCATGAGTCTAAGCAAATATATAAATGCATGCACAGGATCCCTTTCTCAATAACTCATAACACAAATCCATGTGCTTGACATATGAGACGTATCCAATAAGCACCACAAAAGTCAGAGGTGCCTATGCTCACAGGACCTAAGGTAACATGGGTAATAACCTGACTCCGGAGGACGAATTCATAATTCAAGCATTGATGATTTAATAACAATGATCATTAACCAAATAATCAATACCAATATCCGCTCAAGTGCCCGTAGCGCCAAAGTCCTCAACTTTTCTCAATAACCACTCTTTTCATTCATGCACATGTGTATGAAACGATATACTAAAAGGGGCACAAAATATGATAATAAGAATGCAAATAAAAGCTCATATAGTTAATTACTGGCTATGGGAAATCATTTAATTCAATTTATCATAACGGCTCAGTAAGCTATTTAACATGTTCTAGTTTAATCATATTATTATCATGAGTTAATTAGACTATAGAAACCATCAAAATCATGGAGCAAAAAAGAAAGTCTGACATGGCAAAACAATCTTTCATGTCAAATCAATAAGTCATACCCTTTGGCATGCTCCTAAATCATGAATATTAATTATCACATAGTCATAGAATCAATTTGAACATGGACACAATTTTATATAATCCAACAAAGCATAATTCAAGTCAAAAATATCGATTATGGTCAAGACCTAGCTATGCATATACGCTCGTCATCTCGCATATTCATGGCTCCTAAATCATGAATCAAGTAAAAAATATATCACCTATGGGGAGAATTTTCTCTTACAAGGATAAGAGACTTACCTCAACCCAGTAAGTTAAAATCAATCAACCATCGCCTACTATCCAAATTCAACTCTAAACGATCCAAATTTAGTAAAAAAATAACTCAATAACGTCAAATAAATCCATAAAAATAACTTCAAACAATAAAGTTTCTATCTTTAATCAAATTCACAAAAGTCAATCGGGGCCCACAGAGTAAAAACCCAAGTCAAGGGGTAGATCCCGACTATCCATAACCCCACGCGTCCAAATATGTGATTAGATTCTAAATCCGAGTCCAAATCGACCAATTCCCAAATACATCCTCTTAAGTTGTAGACAAATATTCCATATATTTTTCTTTAAAAATACATGTTTTAAGTGTAAAAATTCATTGAGAATTAAGATATAAAGTCAAATCTAAGTAAAAATTATTTGCCTCCAATGTAGTAGTGAATTTGCTCTCCAAAATCTCCATCTCTCGAAGTATATGGTTCATAATATGAGAGAACAAGTAAAATTTCAAAATTATAAAACTTAAAGTTCTGCCCTATGATATGCATCACGATCCAGACACACCCTTCGCGATTGCGAAGGCTTAAAAGATCGCCCAGCTGCTACCCTTCTTCGCAAACACGGGCCTTGCTCTGCGAATGCAAAGGCATTCCTTCTTTCTGGCACCTCCCTATCAGAAACGCGACCCCATGCATGTGAACACGATGCTCCAACTCTTATGTCTCGGCAAAAGTAACTCCACTAATGCGAAGGCAAAGAGGAAAATCCCGTATGCCAGCTCCCCGATCGTGTAGCACTGCAAAACATTAGAACACCAGCCATTTAAAACCAAAGAGAAAAGGTCCGAAAGAACTATGATATATACCCCAGCCCCCGGGACCCCATCCAATCATGAGAACAAGTCCCATACCTTTTTCAAACTTTTTCAAATGCTCAAAACACCACGACTAGCATCAAAATCAAAAATCGATGATTAAAACACAAGTTAAGCTTCTCTTAAATTCATTAACTTCTAACCAAGCGTTCGATTCAAGCGTAACTAATCTGGATTACATTCAAACTTTGAGTCTCAAATGACAAAGGAACCTATTCCAACTTTCGGAATAACAATCCAAATCCAATATCATCAAAATCAACCCCGGTCAAACATAAAAAATCTCCAAACCTCCAAATTTCTAGCCTTCGGCAAATAGAGCCAAAATATCCTAGGAACCTCCAAATCCAATTCCATGTTCACGTCAGAAATCACCATACAAGCCTATTAGAACCATCAAATTACCAATCCGAGTTTCACATAAAAGTTAAACCGTGGCCAACTCTTAAAACTTAAGCTTCCAAAATGAGACTAAGTGTCTCAAATCCCTCTCAAACCTTTCCGAAATCAAAACTAACCATCCCCGCAAGTCAAAAAATAAAAGACAAACATACGAAAAGCATCAAATAGGGAACATAGCTCAAATACATAAAAATATATATGATGTCAGAGGTAGCAAGATTCTAACATGGCAGAGAGCTTTATTTTCTTTGAATTATTTTCTCTATCTCCTGTAATATATGAAGCTCCTTAGCTTTTGGTTTTATGCTTGTTGAGAAGTTAGCTGATGCTAGCACACATGGTTAGGATAGTAGATGGTCAGTATCTATTTGCTTTTGCAACTTTATTAGTTTTTGGTTAATAAAATTTTCTCTTTTTACAATGAAAAAAAGATTTTAGAATATTGGTCAAATAGGAGTATTAAAATTACCATAAAGCCTTTGTAATCATTGTCTTATACGTCACGCGAAACCAGTTGTAATATGGAAACATTATGCAGTATCAAGGGTCTCACTTCAAAAAATAAGTGTAAGGGCAAACTAGAATTTTATTCTGATAACCATAATAAGAGTTTAAGGAACATCTAAAACCTCTGTGTCGCCCATTTAAAAAGAGCTACAAAAGTATCAAAGATATATGAATTTAGGGTCACTCTCTGAAAATCTCCTTCAGATTTTGGTATATTGAAGTGTGAATAGGAACTCCTTAATATTCTTATACCAATTTTAACAGTTTCCCACGGTTAGATTCAACCCAGAGCTTCAATAACTAATAGACTCACTTTGTCTTCTTCAACAGGCAAGCTCAACAAAATCGAACAATAATGCTTTCCAAGATTCTTTACCCAAACCAATTCAAATCAATCACAATTAAGTAATATGTCTTCAATTTCCTACAATATATACAAAGAAGATGGTGAGGGAGGGAAGAAGAAGAAGGAGTTCAAGTTCCTTTGGATATCTATATTTGCTAATAGTTTTTTGCCCTTAAGAAGGATATTGGTGAAATTTCTTGGGAATAAACCAAAAATTGTCTCCAAGTGGGGTTAATAGAAATTATGTTAGATATAAATTTCAATGATGAAAAATAACATAATACTATGGTGGCGGATCACGAGAGATAAAAAGAAGGATTCGAGCAAATCTATCATTGAAGTATGGAAGAAGTCAAGAAAGGAAGGAGTAAAAGAATCAAGGCGAATATCCGTCAACGGAAGCAAGTAAGAAAGATTAATGATTGAAGCAATATGACAACTAGGAAGATTGATACAATGAAGGAAGGACCAAGATTTTCCAATGCACTGATTGCTGAAGATATTCGTCGAAAAAAGAAGGCTATCAATCCCATGAATCAAGGAACAACTTAAGGAGAACTTATGACAAATCCCTGTATGAAAAAGTAAACGACCGGCAGTCATGGATCATCTATGGAAAGCTCTGTACTTATTTGAAATGAATCATAATAGATTCAATTCCGAAGATCAATTCCTTTGGGACTGCAAATCCTTCAACGGTCTGCCAATGATTCGCAAAGCCAAAAAGCTCAAGTATAAAATGAATTATGTCAAGGGAGCAACACATACTTTGAACAAACCACTATCATTCTTTTTGTTCTACTCCAAACAAGCATTGTAGTTCACTATAGATATATTGTGTAACTAGTGAGAGAAGAAAGAGAAAAAAACACTTGTGAGACATTGTATCAAGAAGCAAGAAGTAACATAGTGATTAAGCTGTTGGTGTAAAGTTACATCAACTCTCTTGTATCGAGAAACTTCAAATACAGAAAGAGAACACCCTTGCAACCCAAGGAGACTGGACGTAAGATTCACATTGAATCTAACCAGTATAAAAATCTTGGTGTCTTTAATTCCTGCTTTTTATTTCTGTCATATTTATATTATGTTCTTATCTTGAGTCGACTAATTAGTAAACTAGTCAATTACTTAGGATACAAAAAGAAAAAGATCCTCTTGTACTCTCAAATTATACCCCATTTTTTTGCTGTATAGGGTTCATGTTAGTTTATTCTCTATTTCACAAATTTGCTTTTCGTATTAAATTGATCAGAAACTCATTGATGAATACGTACCAAGTAGGCCCTTGAATCTCGACGGAAAAGAATATTGATAGCAACCAAAAATAGTAGTACTTGGTAACACAAAACAACATTAAGAAAAACAAAATAGCAACAACGAAGTCATTTTGTTCTTTGGATCGACAAACTCAAACCAGACCAACCTTAAAACTCAGAAAACAGAAAGACAATTTTTTAATATGAATTAGTTATCATTTCCCAAAAGAGCGAGAAGGAAAGCCTTGTAATCTCCAGAAGTGTGCTTGGAGAGTGCATGATCAAGAGTGACACTGTTTCTCTTGTAGTAAAGCTCCTTGATATCCTTCAAGTCCTTCTCTGCCCTTGTAACTATCACTCTTGTCACTGACTCTTCATCAGTCCCAGACTCGTTAATGGCATACCGGATTACCTGCAGGTCAATTTTACAGACTTCACACGAAATTGAATCCACAATACCTACTAAACTGACCAATTTAATTTTTAGTATATGTTTACATTTAATTCAACCGCTTTTCATATATGTATTCACAATCTGATCGAGTTGAAAACATTAATTTGAATCCACTGAACCTTCTATAGATCCGCAGGTGCGGGATAGGGATCACAGCGGTTTCAGGACTCTACACTATTACCGTAGATTGTTATTGTAAGGTGCATAGGTGGAGCCACATTCAATCAAGGGGTTGTGGCGCCGAAAAATTACACTGTACTGCTAGATAATTTTTTGTTCTATGTATATTTATTATATGTTAACTTCCCTTGACTTTTCGATGTATATCTAATTTTTTATAATTTGACATCCCTAGATGAAAATTCTGGCTCCGCGGTGATCCAAAAGTATGAAACCCTGTTTTTGTTCTTAAGACGTCACATCCTATGTTTTTCTTATAGGAATGTTAGGCAATTATGTTGCAACTTTGGTAACATTAGCGTCTGGTATTTGTAAGTTTTCAATCATAGAAAAGGTTTTCAAGACATTTTTTTCAAGTTTTTGCTAAAAGTCTTTTTTAAAAAGGGAATAAAAATAAAACTAGTCGTGTTTTCTTGAGAAATGGTTTAAGAGTGTGCTTGCAAAGAAATGTTCTTCATCCACCCACAAAATACTAATACAACTTCAATAAAGAAAAACTAAGTTTTCCTTTTATATACATAATCCTTTTTTTACCTAAAAACTTTTCCCAACTTTTTCCGGAGGATGTTCAAACGGCTAATTTGAAATAAACATAGAAATAAACAATCTTTGTTACAAAATTTTAAAGATACTATTTGAAACAACATAGAAATTTACTGGCGAGTGTCTTATAAAGTATTAATTATTCATAGCCGCCTTCTTTAAAAATGACAGCTTCGGTAATTACTTACCTTTTCATAGTATTTCTGGGGGTCACTAATGCATCGGATTGTTGTACGCAGTGCTACTAGGTATTCCTTAGCTGCATTTGCATCATCCCTCAAGTGCTGAAAGGGAAAGTAGGAAAAATTTAAGAAATTAACCAGTAATATACTCAGCTAAAAGACCAAATTCTGTTAAAAGCCGACGTTAACAGTTTATGTTGATGATCATTTTTACTTTTCCAATAATTCCGTTGTTGAATTCCATTTCCCCCTGGTCTGATTGTTGCAATTTATAATTTATACCCCGTTTGTTCTAGTTTATGTGAACCTAATTTTATTTTGGTCATTTAAAATAATGATCACTTTCTAAATTTTGAAATGTTTAACTTAAACTTTCAATTTTACCCTCAATAAGAAGCTTTTATAATCACATAGATACTCTGACATATTTAACACCACAAGTTTTAAGAGAATTATAGCCACAATTAAGAACACAAGTTTTAAAAGTCTTCATTTCTCTTTTAAATTTTGTGACTAGTCAAATAAGTTCATATAAATTAAAAAGGAGAGAGTAGTATATATATTGGAGGAAACAATATTTTAATTAGACAAGCCCTTTTAAGTTAAACTCTTTCTTGTTTCGTTTTTCTCTTCAGATTATAGTAGTGAGAGTGAAATACGTTGAGGGTGTTTGGCTAAGCTTATAAGCTGGTCAAACTGGCTTATAAGCACTTTTTGACTTATCTACGTGTTTGGTAAATATCTAAAGTGTTTATAAGCCAAAATCAGTCGTAAGTCATAAGTTGGTCACCCCCAACTTATGATTTTTTTAGTTTATAAGCACTTTTAGTTTGACCAAGACTTTTACTAGTTTATCCTTAATAATATTTTCTAATTCACAAAATATTTTTCCCAAAATAAATTTTCTAACTTTGTTTTCATTCCATATTCGTTGTTCATCTTTTTATTTACAAAAAAACTTTTTAATTTATAATCTTTTGTAAAGTTTTTAAGGATATTTTAGTCATTTTAATAAAAGAATTATTTATCAGTTTTTTTTACCAAACACATCAACTGCTTATTATCAGTTTCAGCACGTCTATCCAAACACGTAAATACTTATTTAAAAAATCAGTTTCAACACTTAAAAATACTTTTCACCACTTCAAACTTATCAACTATTTACGATCAGCTAATCTAAACGGGCTCCTTGTCTTTTGGAATACAAGGAGCTTTCTATAAAAGTAGAACCAAGTGTAACTTGTAAATTTTCCGTGACAAGAGTGACGTTGTATGTTAAAAAGATTTCACAATATTCGAGAATAAATCTTGAAAAATGTTACTCACTCCGTCTCAAATTTTCTGTCATAATTTCTAGAAATAATTGTCTCAAATTATTTGTTATTTTAAAAGTTCAAGACTAAATTAATTATATTTTTTTATTTTACCCTTAATATTAATATATTGTTCTTGAAGACTACAAATATCTCAATTATGAGTAAATATTAAATGAAGAGAAATTATATTTTAAGACATAAATGAGGGTAAAATAGTAAAAAACCTGTCCTATTTAATATTTTTTTAAAGGGCGTGTAAAAGACAAATAGAACAAATAATTTGAGACGAAGGGAGTGCGTATATTAAAGAAGTTATTACTCGTACTTAGTATGTAAAATAGTTCATGATGTATATTGTGTTTTTGTTACTTAAGTGTTGTAAACTGTAAGTAAATCGTAAATAAATTAGTTTTAGAAACAGTCACAACTCCAATTTTTGTACAATTTTGTTACCTTGGTAATTGAAGAGCCATAATCATCCTTGTAGCGGTTGAGAGTTGCTATGAGTTGAGGGATGCTCCTTGTAGAAATGATTCTAACAATTTCTTCATTATTGAATTCCTTGTTACTTATTGCACTGTGAAGGATGTCGGCCTCGGTGTTGGCTACTCTTGCATTTATGTCTTCACCAGCATACCTGTATATGCCCACTAGGGCAACCAAAAGCTGTTTCGAAAAAAGAAAAAAAAATCAGTAAAAGGGCAGCCCGGTGTACTAAGCTCCCGCTATACGCGGAATCCGAAAAAAGATCGGACCACAAGGATCTATTATACGCAGCCTTACCTTATATTAAAGGAGAAGGAACCAAATGGTTATCTTTCAATGAAATGTTTATGAGGATCACATACTTCACCTCTAGGCATTAGTAGACCGGTATCATTAAAATGTAATAAAATGTACTTTAAATTTTGATTATGGCCATATTTACTACTACTATTACTATTGTTAGTAACATATTAAAGGCCAACGCAGAAGTAAAACTCTACACAAGTATAAAAACTGGAAGCTCCATATGAATATTTTCATTGGTTTGATTTTCCTTTTAATCTTTTAAGTACCATCTCTATTCTGCAATTAAATATAGGGAAGCTTTATTGTTGGAAATAGTTTTTTCTCCATTCCTCTAAAACATTCACCCACTTGGGACATAACTAGTACAATATACTACTTGATTAATAGATCAAATTAGCTGTTCTAAGGGCAATCTAGTAGCTGATGTCACAATTTAAGTTACACGCCACAATGTAAGTTGAACATTAGCTTCTTCATTTAGAGTGCCTCTTGCAAAACGTTCCCAAAATATTTGGACCCCTCCAACATATTGCCTACCCATTTGTTGGTCAGGGCGCACTGAAACAAACTTGGACTACCTTTCTTAGTACCTAGTTTAGTAAGTAAGCATTTCGAGAATCAAAATTAGATAACATTAGAAGTGTTAAATGGAACGTAGGACAATATTCTGATGGGTTAAAACAGATCAAATCAACAAATAATTTGAGTAATAACTCGCATAATATTCGTTTGGGTGAAGACGGACAGGTCAATTTGAGTTATACCAGCCATAACTCAATCCCTTCACTCAAAATTACTTTTTTTTTGTTTGTTTTTGATAATTTGTTTAATTAAAACAAAATCTTTTTTAAAAAAAAATTCATCATAACTGTATCAAACAAATCAAACCTCAAAAAAAATATGTACTTTTCTATTCTTCATAAATTTTTATATGGGGTCAATTGGGACTATTATGCAAGCCAAATTGTTCCCAACTTTTTGATGAATTAATTTGGACTACCCCAAATATTACCCAATAGTAATAAATTTATACGCAGCAAACAGGTGAAAGTGAATTTTTATGGTTAAATTTGACACCCGCGGCGTCGTATAAGTAACCAACGAAATAAAAGTATAGTGGAGTATTTGATAAACATGCCTTTCGAAGTTCACCAGCAGAATGCTCAGCTAAATCTTCCTCCACAGAACGCTTGTAGCGAGCTTGATAGGCACGCTTTACAGCCAACAACTCTTCAGGGGAATAGATGCATGAGTACTCAATAATCACACGGTAATCTGGAATTGGTGTCTCTTTTATTGCAACGTGCAATATTACTGCATCTCTGTCTTCTGGATCTAGAATCCATCTGTATACTGCTTTCTGCAACATTAGATAGATTATAAACAGATGAAATACAAAAAGAGCTCAAGTTTTTTTCACAATCCGTGTTACAAATATTTACACAATTAAATTACTTTAAAAATAACTAGAACTACCAATTAAGTACTGATCCTATAGATTAGTGACCTATAAAAAAACGGTAAGTAATCTTTGGTAAAATTTTACTGATGGTGCAAATTTTTCACATAATGACTGTAAATAACTTAATTAAAAAAAAGATAATATTAATGAGTTGGAAGTGATCAATCATACAACAGAAGGATTCCGTCCAAAATGATTGAAAGGGGAAAAAGGACTTAAAGAACAGTTAACGACGTATTGCCATTAGATGTATCAGAAAAGTTTAGAAATATTATTGTGTTAGCTAAAATGAAACGTCTCAAGGAAGTTGTTATTGAAAATTCAAGGCATAGAAAAATAACCAAGACTTCTCATTGCCGGCATAGAAGAAAAATGAGCAAAAAAAGTTGTTAGAAAAATTCAATGTCAAGCAAACAATAAGAGCCGGATTCAGGATTTTTACGCGATGGAGGCATAGTATTCTGCTCAACCAGTTTCCCCTAAAGGCTTTTAGTGTTCAGGGTACCAAATGATTTAAATTAACCATTTTCAAGGTATATACATATACAAGATTTCTGCCTGCCAAAACTTACGATGTCCGGTGATCCCTCACTATAACACATAGGTCCGCCTCTGGAAACAATAACATCATTTAGTCTGAATGACTGCAGAAAGAAAGAATCTTTTTGCATGTATTTATCTTGTTTAAAAGAATAAAACAAAGATGGGGACTAGGTTTATTTATATCAGGTGTTTCTATGGTATAAATTTTATAGCACTTAATTTAGAAGAAAGTCGTTTCCAGAGATAATACTTCAGTATTTCTTCTTTTAGCTATTGTTATATTTACCAGAGGCAAAAAGTATTACCAAGAAAAAAGATTAGGAGTGCTAATTTCCAATATTAGTATTTTTTATTCTTACACAACTTTTACTGTCTACTTTTTATCAGTTTTTATGTACGTTAAAATTTAAGAATCATTACTTATAGTTGCTTAATAGAATTTCTCAAAAAGTTAAGAAATCAATCCAAGTTTACTACAAAAATTTGATGCATCTTTCCTATAATTCCGAATGATCATCCCTTTTCTTTTTTCAGGACGAAAGGAGTATTTTCAATTCATACATTTTCCACCAAATGTTGGGACCTTAGATCGTGCGCACACATATATTATTTGTATCATCTAAACTTAATTAAGCCAAATGTCCCGATGTCAAATTAATCTAGTTCTAGATAAATCTTCAGAATTACAAATTTTTAAATGAAATAATTAGAACTAATTGCAAGAGGATACCTCAAAGTGTCCAGACAACTCAGATTCAAGGCGCTTCACAAGATCTTCATTGTACAACTCCTCGTAAGCTCGTCTGATCAGCTTCTTTTGAGTTGCATTTCTATGGCCAAATATTGAAATTATGGCCTTCTCATCTGTTCCCCAACCTAAATTCCACTTGAGAAAAATGTAATAAGAAAATGTGACAACAAAGGAAAATAAAATTATAAACATATATCTTAAATAATAAAAAAATGAGTTAGAAACGGAAAACAAAGATAAGAAAAAATAAATTGTACAGTTGCCAAAGAGAGTGGCCAATTAAATATTAATCGACCGGACAACTAAGAGAAATAAAAAAGAAAAGAAACCAAAAAAAAAAAAAGAAAAGGAAACTACTACTAACTTACCACCCAATACAGATCTCATGGAAAAGAAATAATATTTGCTTTCACAATCATTACATTGTCAAATAACAAATGATGTCTCATGTCTGCGTTTTTGGATGCCATTTATTTTTAGAGATAATAGCATGACTGTTCCCTGAATCACTTACAAATTTCATGTTTTGATCATTGTAATTATCAAATGAGCACTTGGCCAATCAATTCATCCTCAATAAAATTGTTCAACGTCTTTAGCCAAAAAACATAAAAGAGAGGGAGTGGGGGAATGATATAGTTCAACGCATATAAAATCAAGAAATAAAAGTGACCATTGAGTGGAAGCTATTGGGGGACACGAAAATAGAATAAACAAGAAAAAGAAAAGAAGGAAAACTGGATAACCTGAGGATGGTTAATGCATGATCAGACTATTGAAGGGAAAAAATAAACATTGGGTTAGACTGCTAGATTAAGGGGCTGAGTTATATATATATATATATCACATTCTTAAATATCTATACTAACTGCAAATATATATGAGGGAGTCGCACATCACTACAAAAAAGAACAAAACAAAAAAAAGTAGCTATGAAGTATATTCATTGCTAATATATATGTCGCGAAAAAGCCCGTAACTAATAGGAACTTTTGACAATTTATCGTTAATCCATCATTAAATAAGATTAGCAATGAATTCTTTCTGTTAGCGACATAATTTCTTTTGTAGTTACAAAAAACACCATATATTCTGAATAGAGATATCATAACATAAGGTACAGAATTGCAGTAGAAACTAACAAATAAACAAACCATTGGATAGTGACGATCCGCAATAAGAAAAAAAAAACACTTCAAACTTGATAACGGTGAAAAGGAAAAGAAATATAAGACGGATTTAAGTTATGTAAACGAATCATTGACAGATAATGTACAGGTATCATATACAATTGATGATGAAACAAGCATATGTTGTTACCAACAAAAAAGAGAAGAAGAATATGAAAGGAAAGAGTGACAAGTTTGATGAGATATATAATAACCTTGACAAGCCTTCCTAATAGCCTCTGCATCAGCAACAGGAGAAGGGTTTTCAGGGTAAATGATCGTAGCCATCGTTAAACTCTTTTCTTAATTCGCAGCTCTAATCAATGAATTTCTTCCTCTTTGATATGTTCATAGTCCTACAATTTATACTACTCAAAGTAATTAACTTAGTCAGATCAATTACTATTGAAAGTAACGCCATTTTGACAGATTACTTACTCCATTAATTAAGAATATTTATTAATGGCAAAGAGACAAAGAACTTGTACCGGTTTCACACTATTTCTCTTTATGATATTCTAACTCTCTTTTTGATGAGGGTATTTCTCGTGCACGGAGTTTTCTAGATAACTATGGTTGTAACAGTAATGTACTTATTTTATCTTGATTTAATTATGTGCAGTTTATATTGCAGAAATTGTATTTTCAGACAAGAATGGGTTGTTCTAGTGGTGAGCACCCTTCACTTTCAATTAAGGATTTGTGAGTTCGAGTCACCCCAAAAGCAAGGTGGGGAGTTCTTGGAGGGAGGGAGCCGATGGTCTTTCGGAAACAGTCTCTCTACCCTAGGGTAGGGGTAAGGTCTGCGTACAAACTATTCTCCCCTCCCCAGATTCCATTAGTGAGATTATACTGGATTGTTGTTATTGTTGTTATTGCATTTTCTGCTTAATCGTTATATAGTTCTCTAAATTTTTCATTAAGTTTTGTAAAATGATACTAGAAGTTAAAACGAAATTTCTTTGGCAATAAATTATTATATACACACTAATAAAAAATATAAATACTATATACACTCCAGTTTTACAGAATCATTCACCGCCGAGTATTCAAACCATAATAATAGATAATTCCAACTTTATGGACTTTTCCAATGATAATTCCAAATAACAATAGATAATTAACCTCTAAAATATAATTAAAATTGTCAATTTTCTAGTGATAAAACGCTCAAAAATATGTTTTTGAACTAGAAATACAGATATTAATTAGTCAAACAATTTTTTAAATGAGGCAAAACGACAAAAAAATGGATATGCTAGTAGGTAGAATTTTTGGACGCGTGACATGGTTTCCCTATTGTTTTTTAATTTTAGTATGTAGTTGGTGTCCAAAATCAAGAATTTCGTGCCACGTTCGAATACGTGTAAAGTATTGATGTTGGACTTGCGACAAAACAAACTATAATAGTTCAAATTAAATGATTTTTCTTCCGTTCTTTATATTATATTTCTATTTTATTTGTCAGGTTTATTAAAGATGTCAGCACGGGCCCATTGACCTGCTAATTAATAGGTTTTTTTTTTTTTTTTTTTTTTTTTTTTTTTCACATTTAGCCCGCGCCATAAACTATTTATATTCGATTAAAAACGTATAATTTTGTATATAGTATATATAATGTATATATATACAAAAAATATATATATTTTTTCGACCATTATTTTAAAAGCGACTATATGTTTTACTGTCCGGTTGTTTGGAGTTTTCAAATTTTCCAATACAATTCTTGATAAGGAAGAAATAAAAGATCCAGCATCTGTGCAAGGTAATCGCGTTATGTACAAGGATTACAGTTCCTAGAATTTGAAACTATTGTAAAAATAGTTGAACAACTCCAAGAGACCTAGAGAAAGCAGGAGTAGAAGCATTAACAACTCCAGGAACAATTAAGTGGACCTGCTAACTACTACTCTCCTAAACAGAACTGGAGACCTCATCCAGTAAAAAATATATAGTTGATGAGCAAAGAAGTCTCTTTGCTACCCTTGGCTACTGTTATTGCTATGCTATATAAGAACCTTTTAGTAGAATCCAGAGAGGCAGTCACAAATAATTCTCTCCTATTAACAAGAAAATGACTAAGGCTATAAGCTTCAATAAAGTGGAAGATAGAGCTGCAACTTAGACATCAATTATAGAAACTCATCATAAATGTTACCATTCTAAAAATTATAAGTCATCATACACCACTGCAAAAAAACGTTAAATTTGCGGAGATTTTATTTATATATTGCGGCGGTTAAAAACCTTTGCAATATGCTGTTACGACAATTTCCAAAACCCCAGAAATCAATTCGCGGGGTTTTTGGGCAGACCGCCGTTAGCGGCGGGTATTTAGCGTCGGTTTAAACTCCGCAATTCGATAGTTTGACTTTTTAAGAACCTATTTATAAAAAATTAGCGGCAGTCAAAACCCCTGCAATATGTTTAGTTAACTCTCGCAAGTTTATAACACAATATTATTATAGGTTAAATAGCGGCGGTTATAACCACCGTTAATCATTGAATATAAACCTTTTTTTTTTGTTGCAATTGTTACTCCATAATTGATCCGATTTTAATTATATTAATATAATGAAGCATTCAACAGATTGTATAAATTGTTTACTAGAATCAAGTAACATTAATATATTAATAAACCATAAAATAAATTAAAGTAAATTATCATTAGTCTCAAAAAATTGCTTTAAACACAACTACTCCAACCATTAAACACAAAACATCAGTATTATAGTTAGTCTTAAAACAAACTTTAAACAGGATATTCACTGTTTCTCCCAAACGCACATGCAAGTATACGTGGTCGACAAGTAATATAGAATTGTAAGTCCAGATATCGTACCCACAAGAACTTGTGATTAACTATCAACTAAATTAAACCAAACAATTAATCTATTCAAGCAAATCCTAACGTATGAATATTTTACTAAAATTAATCTAGAGTAACAAATTAAGAGATTAAAGAAAATAACGACAAGCTTAAAGACGAATTTAATTGTAGTGAATATTCTAATGGGTTAGCTAACAATCCCGTTGAGTTTAATGACTATTTATATGTGTAAGAAAGAGACCTAAACGAAATAACCAAGTCCAAAATCAAATAAGAGATAAAATAGGCTTTAAAAATTCGGAACACGCTCGCTACGGGCCTCGCCTCGTGAGGCAAAACACACGCCTCTTCTCGCTGTACACTGTGTCGCTATACACTGTGCCTCGCAAGCTCTGTAGCGAGCTCCTCCTCGCTTTAGTCCTCGCGTCGCATAGCGAGCAACAAAGCTTGCAACGCCAGCTTTATAGCGCACAAAGTCCCTTGCCTCGCCTGCTGCTTCTTCAATTACAAATGTGCTGCCTGACATTTCAATTTCACGTGTCTGTTTCTTTCTCTTCTACTTTTCAATTCTTTGCATAGTCTCTTTTTGTCATCCTTTGTAATTAAATACCTACTAATTAAATAATCATAATTCATTCTTATAGTATATAAAATACACATAAAATCTCTATTTTGCTCTCAATTTTATTTTCACGTATCTATACATAAAATAGACTTAATTAAGCACAAATATAGTATAATTTAGCATTAAAACACCAAAATGTAAAGTAAGTAACGCACTAAAAATATAGAATTATATCCAAACATCACTACCCCACACTTAAATGTTGCTCGTCCTCGAGTAATCAAACTATACTTTATATAGACACGGCCATTTAAAATAATTCTCCTAACTCATCACACCAAGAATCTTTAAAATAGACTAAGCACAAGAGTGTAACATCTTCACCTCAAGATTTGACTCACAAGTACCACGTATTATTCACAACTCACTCACTTACTCTAACATAGAGGTCAATGACATTACCTTTCATTCATGAATCAAGTGCCCTCGCACAACAAAAAAGAGTAGTTCCACACACAATAAAAATTTAAGAACAATTAGGAATTCAAGATAGAAAATAATTCGCTCACTCTCCAAAATAACATTCATATGCAATAAAAGATGCACCATAGGCTGGCCCGTAGTGTACTACTCTACTAATCGAGCTCATTCAGTCTAGGATTAAGTAGGATTTTAATTGGTTGTAATGTAGGCTGCGGATCGGGTAAGATACATTTGGATATAAGAGTGACTACACCTCCCTAAGCACTTTAATTTATACACTTTAATATTTAAACCCCACACTTATGTCAAACCATAACTCCACCTTTACATCAATGTATATTAACTCTTTACTTCTTTAAGCGCAATTCCATCAAGAGCCACCACTATCAAGGAATACTTTTTCACACCAATTCAACTATTTTTTTCATTTCTTTCTTTTCTAATTTAAGTGATTTTTATTTTTTTCAAAACAGTGCACCTTTCTCCTTATTTCATTAGTTCCACTCAAAAGCCAAAACAACCACATCACACTTTAACTTTTACAAAGTTCATAATAATTCAAGTGCTCATGAGAGGTGAAAAGGTTCAAATAGATAGTTAATTCAAACAAATGGGTAAGGCTTGTAATGTGGTTGCCAAAGAAACAGGATTACATGCTCAAAGGGGTTAACACGATACATAATAATTAGGTGGGTAAACTATATATATCTGGCTCAGCAAAGAAACGCCTATATCACTTTCAAGACTGAACACCGCTACTGTTTCGCTTTGCATACACACGGGGCAAGTTCTACGCATCAAATGCAATGCACAAAATAACACACAAACCTCACACACACATGGCACATAACTCACTTAGGATTGGAATCATCAAGACACTCTAGTCAAAACAGTTAAGCAAAGTTAAGATTATACAATTTAAGGTTCTTATACAAGAGTCAAAAACTGAGCCCAAGCGTCACAACCAAAGTACTCACTATTCTCAAGGCATAACAAAAGTCAAGAGATATTGCTTCAATTCAATTCATCTCACAGTGGCTCCTACTCCTAAAAAAATAAAACTAACTACACCCGGTTCAAATAAAACCCTTGAAAAAGAACAGCGACATAAAGAAAAACCAAGGTGGAATTATTACACTACCTAAAAAAAGAAAATATTTTTGTCTTTTTTCTTTCAACTTAAATCCCTCAAGAAACTTGTCGAATGAGATCAATCGTCGGAAAAAGTCCAAAATTTTATGATTTTTTTACTACACTAAGAACGAGTACAACAACTAAGCTAAGATAGCACAGAAAAATACCCAGATAATCTCCTCATCCCACACTTAAAATTGTAAAATGTCCTCAATGCACACTATAAATAACAAGAGGGCAAAAGAGACTCCCTATTAAGCCAAAGGCCAAAGAATTAGCAGCTTACGGGATACTCAGACTTCTCCCAGGTACGATTCTTTGTGCGAGTACTTCACACTC